ATAAATCCACATGAGAGATCCAGGACCAGCACTGATGGATGCAGTAATTTATGTCTGTTGTATCTCCATGGGATATACAGGAGAGTATCCAACAATTTTTTAATAAAAGTATTGCCACTAAGAAGAATTATCGGAGGCAAGCATTTGACTATGTTTCACTAAATTCACACATCTGAAGGAAATGTAGAGGAACTGGATATTCCAAACAACCATGAAAGTTAAGATAATAATGAAATTCTGAGTTTCRGTTTTATATTAGATGATATTAAATCAGACCTCTATGATGAGTTATATGCTTATAATAAAATATCATTGTCATTTTATTCCAATGTTTTATTTTTGTTTGGCATGGCATCTTTCATTAATTATTTAATAAATGATTAATTTATTTGATGGAAGAAGGGAAACTTTTCTGTTCCAGAGCACACTACTGACTTGGATTTGTTCTGATAGTCTTATAAGAACAAGTAACATATTCTTGAGGAAATACACATATCTCATTTAATGTGTAAGACCTTATGTAAACACTTCTGAAATTATACCAGACAGAATTTGCCAAATGAAGACAGTCACAAAAAAACTTCCATTCATAATCCTGGCCTTCTTGTGATGGGAGTCTCTACACTTCAGAATTGGCATCTCAGAAATGCAAATGATGAGCCTTCCTTTTCAGAAGAAAATATAGCATAACTGCTCTGACTGATGTGTGAAGCACTATGACTCATGAGCTAGACAGGCATTTAAAGTGGTTCTATGAATGTCCTCTAATTTATTTGTACCTTTTGTGTGTTTTGCATATTTTAAAATTATATATACATATTATCATCAGAGTTCTATACTCTTTGCCAAAGCTGATTTAAACAGAACAAGGCATTAAAAGGAGTAGGCATTATGCTTCCTCTACTAATAGGTTCAGTTGCAAAGATATGCTTGTAAAGAGCATTTATTGCCTGTCTGTCTGGCTATTATTATATCAAATTTATTAACATTACTTTTGTTCATGATGTACAATAAAACTGCCCTTAAAAGGTGTCCATGATGTCTGTGCTTCTGAGTCCTTGCCACAGACCTTTCCTACTATTAGGGGAACATCAAAGTAAGTTTCAGCTGGGATGAACATTTCCTCTTTCCTGCAGTCTATGTACCTACTCGTGAATGTAACATCCAGATAATAAACAAAAATATCTGTGAAATAATTTCAGGAAAGGATATTTATATATTTTCTTTGGGAAATACGTGTTCTGTTTTATTAAGAGCTAATGTAAATAATGCATGGGAAATACACTTGGGGGAAACACACTCCTCAAAATATTTTTCTGTTGATGACTTGATTTAGTAGATGAGACAGAAAAGCTTTTCCCCTTGAAGCTGTTGCCTTGAATGAGTTCAAGGTGAGTGCTACTTTAGGAAGGTTCCAAAGAAAGGACCAGTTTCATTTCTCATACAACTCCCATGCTGTAAAGTTCCACATGTCCTTTGTAGAACAGTCTGCTCTTAGCAGCCTTGAACGAGTGATCAAAAATGGTATGAGCTCTATAACACTCACCTTACCAGCTAAAAACCTTTTGAGATTACGAACGAGTCCTCTAAACAGCTTATTTTTTTATCTTCCATAAAAATTACACTCTCTGAAGTCACTGAGTACAGGAAACTCTAATTTCTCTATGCTAATAATTTCAAATTTTGTAATCACACTCACAAAAGAAAGAGAATTAATTGTTAGCTACATATGTCCATGAAGGCTGCAATCTTGTACCTATTAGGGGATTATTTAATTAGATGTAATATTTGGAACTGTTTTATAATAAAAACTCTAAAGGTCATATAATCAGGTACTGGTTAGAAATAAATGTTCTGTTATTCTCTCCTTTCTTTATTTGCTTTATTGCTTTATATTGACAGCTAACTATATAAAAGAGAAAGAATTCAGCAAGTAGAGGATTCATTCCTTATATTGCCCAGATTGCATCTGATTTTGTGCAAATTAGATTTAAGGGCTTTTCAGTTGCCTGTTGTGTTTACACTAATCTTTCTCATCATTCCCTCGCCACTGGACTCAATGTTGTAAGTCATAAAAAAAAAAAAAAAAAAAATGGAACAAATCTTTTAGCTCTGTTCCCATCCCTTGTTTATTCAACAGAATCGTAATCAGTGACTGGCCTGATCTAAGTAGACATAATAGCAGATCCTCAGTGCGCCAGACCCAAGCAAGACTGAATGTTGATGTCATCTGAAGGAATTTCTGTGGTTCTTTCCTTTACCTTACAGTACAGGCACTCCCTTACAGCCACAAACTGGTTCCTGCTTTGATTTATGATACTTGCTAATGCACAAAGCTTTTCAGCTTTCTACTCCCATCTCTCTGTGCTTGAACTCAGGAGAAAGACTATCAAATGCAAGCGTCCCAGGCTTAGTGAAAAATTCTTATTTAAAATAAGGAGCTATAGGTGAGGAATTCCCTGCACACTGCTTAGCTGCGATTTCAGGGCATGATTAATTTCTCAATGCAAATCATCAGGCAGACACCCGCAGGAGTTCCTCGGTGGTGGTTAAAGAAACAGGGGAGTGCTCATTCACAGTCGAGATGGTGATTTTACTACAGAGATAAGCCTGCCTTTTTTTAATGCTCCATCTCTGAAACATTCAAAGCAGTCGAGTTACCATTTAGATTTACGTGCAGCTTTTCTGACRTATTACTTTAAGCTGCTGAGTGTTGGCACCTCGAGGAAAACATCACATGCAGCCAGAAAAACGATTCACAGAGGCAAGAAATGCGCTGAAGCGCCTTGCTTCAGAGGCAGTGGCAGAAACTTCGCGGCTGGAGCTCCCCCCTTGTCCTGCTAACAGCAGCCACACACAGCAAGAGGTTTGGAAGAAAAAAAAAAAAAAAAAAAAA